TTCGATACTGTTGACCATAATATCCTATTAGAGCGAATAGAACATGCTGTAGGTATTACAGGTATTGTGCTGCAGTGGTTTGTATCATACCTATCTAATAGACTCCAATTTGTACATGCAAATGGAGAGTCCTCTTCTCCCAAGGTTAATTATGGTGTTCGATATCGTTAGGGCTAGATCAGGTGACCCTGAATCCTCCCTTAGTTTTGCTGCAATAGGTTTATGCTGCTGGGGGATTCCCATGATGCAGTGAGTGTGTCTTCTTCAGTCACCTTTCTCACTCACTATGTTTTAATAGACCTCTCTGCATTGAGTCATTAATTGTTATTAATCTCTGGCTCTCTTCTACAGCAGGTCTTTTATCCTGTCTTCCCTCTGTCACCTCAAACAGTCGCAGCACATGGACGCCCCTCTCTGAGCCTGGTCCTGCCGGAGATCTTCATGTTAAAAGGGAGTTTTTCTTTCCCACTGTCACCAAAGTGCTTGCTCATAGGGGATCATGTGATCTGTATGTATTATTGTAGGGTCTACCTTACAATATAAAACACCTTGAGGCGACTGTTGTTGTGATTTGGTGCTGTATAAATAAAACTGAATTGAAAATAATGTGGATCTGGCAATGCCATGTACCTGACTGCAGTGTAATGTTGTGGATGATGGCTCTTACCACAGTGGTCAACCTCATTTTCTTGCTGAAACAGCTATGATAATGATGAGGATGGTGAGGATGATGGCACCAACCAATAGGAGGTAACACTTCCTCTTCCTCAGCTGTCTCTGTGGGGAGAAAGGGTAATTTAGTGGGCGGAGTTATGTTACTGTTACATTTATAATAAAAAAAGTTAATAAAATATATTGAGACATGTTTTGGCAGTAAAGTATGGTGGCGGTTAGCACTGTTGCCTCACAGCAAGAAGTTCCTGAGTTCAAGTCCACCATCAAGTCTTTCTGTGTGGAGTTTGCATGTTCTCCTGTGTTTGCTTTGGTTCTCTATGGGTACTCCGTAAAATGCAGGGTTTGGTTAATTGGTCATTCTAAGTTGCTAAATTGCGAAGGGTTGTCTGTTCCTATGTGTTAGCCCTGCAACAGACTGGCAACCAAGTCTGCCAGGGTGTACCCTGCCTCTTGCCCTAAGACAGCTGGGATAGGCTCCAGCCCCCCCGCGACCCTGAAAAAGATAAGTGGAAGAGAATGGATGGACGGATAAACAAACTGACCAAGTAGAACATCTGAGAATGTAAACACTATAAAATACAATGACTTTGGGAATTTACAGTATTTTATCAAGTGACACATTGTAGTCCACTGGTGTTGACAACAACAAACCTGTGGTTTCTCCCATCTCCACTCAATAACTGTACTGTTAGCTGTAGTGGCATTTCCATTGTCTTTGCAACTGAAAAAAATCTTTTGAATTACAAGCTTTTGACTGTAACTGAATAAATGTCTGAACAGTCTGTTTGTGTAGAAGTTCATCACCAAATCATACAAACATTAATCTAATCATTGTGACTTTTTAAACATAAACAATGCCAAGTTGACAGACCAAATCTTGAAATGTCACATGTCACTGTCACACTGGCCTTCGACTGATGCCGCCACTGTTGTAAATTACATTTTTAGTCAGATGTTTTAGAATGGAGAAAAAGAAAATATGCATAATCCTGTACTTTGAACTGTGTTTTTATTTTTATTATATGTATTGTGTACATGTGACTGTTTTAGGAGAATGTGCCAGTTTTTATTGATCTCTATGGATTTCTGAGGCATTTGTATAACATGAGTAGCACTTGGTTTTCATAAATACAACTAATAATTCATATGTTGCAGGAACTTCCACATTAGTACAGAGTACCTCTGTCTTAGTATTCAATAAAAATGTTTGTTAAACTTGAGCGTAAACTACAATAAAAATACTTTGTTAGTTAGCTGTATGGAGGCAGATGAGGACCCAAACGCAAAACTCACGGAACTGAACTCAAAATCACTGCTTTATTGCAGGCCTTACAAAGAAGCAGAACTAAACTGGGAATGCTAACAGAAGACCGAGGGAACACAGAAAGGCACACAGGTTTGGGGAGGAGACATTGACGACGCGACACTGAACGGAGGGAGACATGCACATAAATACACAGAGGGGTAACGAGGGAAGTGGGAGCACACGGGGAACACAGCTGACACAGATAATTGTAACGAGACATGGCAGGAGAAACCCGACACTGACGGGAGACTGTCAAAGTAAAACAGGAAGCACAGAGGTGCAGACAGGAGGAGAGAGAGCACGGGCATAGTGGGCTGGGGAAACATGGAATGAAACACAAGGAGGGGAGACGAGGGCTCACAGATACATAGAGGGGCACACAGGGGATAAAAGTCACAAGGGGAAATCAAATGGTAAAATGGCCTGCATTTGTATAGCGCTTTTCTAGTCCCTAAGGACCCCAAAGCACTTCACACTACATTCAGTCATTCACCCATTCGCGATGGCAAGCTACATTGTAGCCACAGCTGCCCTGGGGCGCACTGACAGAGGCGAGGCTGCCGGACACTGGCGCCACCGGGCCCTCTGGCCACCACCAGTAGGCAAACATGGGGTTAGTATCTTGCCCAAGGATATTTGGCATGCAGCCAGGACCTTCAGATTAGTGGCTGACCTGCTCTGCCACCTGAGCTACAGCTAAGGAACAAAATACAAAAATGCATGAATACTAAGACTGCTGGGCCATGTTGGCCCAGGATCATGACAATTTTACTTCTTTCTTATGGGTAGCAGTGGGCATGATTTTTCTTAGTAAGGTTAACTAATTAGAAATTACAGTGTACATGAAGACTGTGCTATTCTCATTAAATATTCATATTTGTTATTGTGCCAGCTTTTGTTTTTCTAAGACAGCTTTGATTCAACCAAACATTTGTTATTTCATAAGAGTGACAACATTCATATCTACACGATTTTAATAATTTTTCCACACAAACAGCGTTCGCCAATGTCAATGTGGTGCACTGACTGATGTAAAGGCCAAGCTCCATTTTAATAACTACATAGCCACAACGCGTGCTTTTCCGTCCCCAGCTAATTTAAAGCAACCCCATAGCACACAGCTGATGCACTTAGAATATGAATGAATAAAAACAACAGCTGACATTTTGAAAATACACATGGCGGAACAAAGAAAGTGGCATTTCAGCCAAATGAGATCAACACAGCTTCAGAGGAAGAAGATGATTCTGGGTCACACAAACAAATACTGATAAAATGCAGTAATAGAAATGGTCCTGCTGCATTGCTCTTCCCCTGAACGCATTCAGCGTCTCAGGCTGATCTATTAATTATCTCGTTTACCACTCATATCGTTTATTAACTTTAAAACCAAGAAAACAACACAAAGAAAAAAATATGCTAGAATGATTTCTGCAGGTTTATCTCTTTACTCCAAAGCAGCTAAAAAGGCAATCATTAAATTAGCACCTGTTAAAAAAAGGAACTTGATTTGCACAAAGATGTTACAGTGCTTAATAGCTTCAGTCATAAGAGGCTTTTAGCACACAAAGCTAAAAACAGAGAATGTTTGACTTGTTGAAGAATGCACTTTTCTTTCTTTTTTACTTATTTGCAAGATTTTATAATTATAGTTCTGAGCTTACGGATTGCAGTGTCAGGGTTTATATATAGCATTAAAGCTGAACACTGTTTAAGGCAATATGATATAATTACATGATTCTGTAATTACCGGTGATGTATAACGAGGTGTAGCTTGATTGCTTCTCCTTAATGGGACGTTACCCACTATGTTCAATTTTACGATCTTTAAAATTTTATTATGTTGTCTGTTGTTTAGCAGGTTTTACTTTATGTTACACATTCAGAATTTATTTGACTGTCATATTATTATGACAGTGGTTCTTTTGTTTTCATATAAACTAGAAACTAGTAACTCTGCAATGGCAATGAAATTAATACTCATTATGTCGGTTGTACATACAAGTATAAATAGTACCTCTAAAGTTAGTCAGGATTAGGCTGCATTAAACTGCAGGAATGTCTTAA